ACAAGACAATGCCAGACTGTCAGGATTAGGGATGGAGCTAAATCATCTCTCTTTAATTTCACTAACGTTACTTTTTTACAAAGAGTAAGTTTATCATCACTTGATTATAAGGATTTCATAGCTTATCATAAATCTGTGGACTTATTATATATATATATATTTATTTTTTTATTTTATTTTTTTTAAGTGAATTTTGATTTAGGTTACCAGCCCTGAGCATTAGCTACTGCAACAGCCACCTTTACAGTTATAAGTGTTTTAACAGAATGAGCTCCAGAGGCATCCGCTATGTCTACTCACCCTGAAAAGTTCTGAACGGGGCTGATGGATGGTCACAATGACTATTCGATCTCTTCTGGCCAGTTCAGCCAGCAGCACCACGATCTGATTAGTCGTCATGCTGTCCAGTCCTGTGGTCGGCTCATCCAGAAGAATCACCTCTGCCATGACGTAACAGAAAATTGAAAAACAGGAGAAGAAATAAAACAAATGAGAAACTTTCTCCAAAGTCCACTTTCTGCCCTTCGAGAGACAATTTTGAGTGTCTTCTTAATTCAAGTAATTAAAGCAATTAATAGGTTTCCCTTTGTCTAAAGTTAGAGCCAAATTAATTGGCTGATGAATTCATTTACTGCTTGATTGGAGAAGGCAGCAGATGAAAGTCACTTATAATTGCTGGTTTGTGTTCAGTTTGGAGTGGCCTCAACTAATCCATAGTCCACGGTCCCAGAAGACCCAGATAAAGGATCCAAAGGGACCCTCATAGACCTCGGCTTAATATTAAAAAATGTGATAAGCCCGTCTGCCACTTTTAATATTCTACTTCAGCCCCTTTCACATTTGTCCATTCCTCAATAATCCTTCGAGGGGCTTTGGGTCGCTGTGCTGGTCGCTCTGCATTTAAATAACATTTCGTCTCTCTTATGTGCAAGCAAGGAATGAACACACTACAATGTGGTTGTACTCCATACATAAACAAACATTATGCTATTATGGGTTATTATAAAGATGTCTCAGACAGATCAGAAGGCAGCTCACTTGGGTCCTGAAGCAGCTGGCTGGCAATGGAAACCCTCCTTCTCTCTCCACCAGAAATGCCTGGGAAAATGCGGCCTCCAATCACGCTGTGAGCCACATGTCCCAAACTCAGCTCTGCCATGACTGCAGCTACCTATGACAGATCAAACAGGGATCAGCTTATTAAAAATATGAGTGATGTCTCCATCATAACTGTATGAAAGTTAAAGTATCTGTAGGTATTTGAGATTTCTGTATGCATTTAATTTTAATCGATTTTGATGACCATATCTGTCAAATATCTGTGAAGGGAATGAGCTCACCTTCTTGCGTATGGCCTCAGAAGAGTGTTTTCTCAAAGCAAGCTGAGCAGTGTATGTCAGAGTCTCCTCCACAGTCAGATAGCTCAAGAGATTGTCACTCTGAGAGAAAAATTATGTTATGTAAGCATTCAAAATAAAGCTATTTATTTCAACATAAACAACAATGCAATTAGCCTGAGATGCATTTCCCATACAATGATAACTCGCTGCTTAAATACTACTGTGATGCACTGTAGGAGAAACAAGTGGCTGTGTAAAAAGTTCTGCTAATGAAATTTATATCCAAAACTGCAGCCTTTTTCAGAGAGGCTGCTATAAATTAACATGGCATCTGAGGACTAATTTGCTGTTTTCATTCCCTGCTGTTTCGCTTTATTTGAGGTTTGATTCACTGTGGGTTCCCTCTATTTCATACTCCGGGGTTTCCTTACACATTTCCTCACACTCTTTAAAAATGATGCTGATTGTTGTCATGCTAAAATACATAGATTGAAACGTATGGATATTAAACAATGGAAAGAATGGTATTGAATGCACTATATGTTAACTTGCTTATTGTCAATAGCATGATCTACTGAAGTCTACATGTCATACTAACAAGAAACTACAGTGGTGACCAAAATGATTAGAACACTAGTATTTTTTACCAGCTAAAAATGGTTTTAAGTCAGTTATTTTAAGTCAGTTATTACAATAATATCACTAGATTATTACAATTAATGGCAAAATGAATGTTTGGAAATGTAAACTTATTTCCTACTGACACACCTCAGCAAAAGATAGAAATAACTGACTTAAAACCCATTTTTTAGCTGCTGAAAATACTAGTGTTCTAATCATTTTGACCACCACTGTATGCTGACCTTCTGCCCTCACGTTGTTCTAACACCTGTGTGACTTTCTTTCTTCCATATGGAGCAGAAAATTATATGGAAAAATCAGCTTGGTCATTCTGCAAAACATTTTAAATTCTTATGCTTCTGAGAAATAAAGTCATATATGTTTGAAACAAAAACACAAGAATGATGGCAATTTTTGGTGAACTGCCCCTTAAAATAATATTTAGTATATTCACAAACACATTTTATTGAGAAAAAAAAATCACAGAAAATTGTATTAATTGAAGCCAAATGGTCATCCAATTAGGGCTGACCCATGTTGTTATGTGAGGTGTGCATGTACCAGTGGCTGGAGGACCTGTGCTTTAAGTTAGCCGTTAATGCGCTATGGTGCACATTATTGACACTTACAACACTTCATCATTTGAAAACGTTGCTCTTAAGTTGAAATTCTTATCTGTGTCTTCAGTTTAGGTCTTATGTTTATCAAGTCAGAAGGTTGTGGATTTTGTGCATCATGTCTGTTTAAATCTGTAATTTGTTGTACAGTGAAGTTCACACTGCTGAAACTGGACTAGAAGTAAAGCTACTATAACCTCTACTATTGGGGGGAAAAGTAAAAAAAAAAAAAAAAAAAAAAAAAAATGAAAAGTACGCTCCTCTTAACTTCACATACCTTTAGCTCATGAGACACATTTAATTACTGGATTAGATTCATAGCTTCTTTGCATCTAAATTTAATCTGTAGAAATGACCTGCAATAATAGCCGTCTCTCCATGCTTATTTAATTTTCTGGAAGATACACATGAATAGCTCAGAGGAATAATGTAATGAACTCATGTGTAACGGCTAATTTCAGAGTTAACTCTACAAATTAACTTTTCTGCAAACTTTACTGTGTTTGTTTAAGTTTGGTTGTGACAGACTTAACCTATAGTTACCTAGCCAATTGCTTTTTATCTATACTTTCTACAGTTGACCAAAGTTCAGTCACATGTGGCCTGTGATACTTAGATTGACACGCACACACAGGCACATTTACAGTGTGCTGCAGATGTACAGTATTCAGTGTATTACAAGTTCTACTGTGCAATTACTGTGTAATCTGTGATATTTTCTTTTAAAATCACTTAAAATCAGGGCTGGCAATGCAGGATGACAGAAAGGGGATGGCGTTCCAGTTTGAACACTCTGTATTTTCATACTATTTGCACCACAAATTTGCACAAACTTTATTTTTTTCTCATTTTTAAAATACTATATGGTTCAGTTTTTCACCTCTTTGCACACTTGAATGATCAGTTATCAACATAAACTGATGTTTTAGTATACTGAAGTGTCATGTATTGATAGTGGTATAATAATTTTACATTGTGCTTTGAAAACGGCAGCGGGTAGCCTAGATTTATGGTTTCAATTTGAATAGAAATCCTATACAGTAATTATTATAGTATTATAGTAATAATTTTGGTAAATCAATGTTTGCTTATTTGTAAATCAATATAAATTAAAAGTCTGTACTAATCTTTAGTTGTCAGTATTTTTAGATGCATATTTTTAACCAAAAAAAAAAAAAGAAAGAAAGAAAGAACCTCACCTGGAGCACATAAGAGAAACAGTCTTGGAACTGCTCTGCTTTTAGCTTTCTTCCATTCACAAAAACCTCTCCAAGGAGTTTACCAGAATTCCCGATTCGTCCTGCTACAGCATCTAATAGAGTGGTTTTTCCAGAACCTTGAGAGAGAGACATCAGTAAGCTTATTAACCTTTTGATATATTAGCCTATCATATGACATTGGCATGTAAAGAAATGATAGTGTCAACCTTACATAATATAAGTTTCTTTAGTACATTGCCTTGTTTATACTGCTTAATCATTTCAGTAACTTAATGCACATACAGTGAACAGTAGTTGAAAGATACGTTAGAATGTGATTTGTAATTTATATTTATATTTACAATTTTCTTTTTTTAGTGGTCATGCTCTCAAATTTCTCAAAATCTTGCCATTCACTATTACAATAGCATCGTGAAATACAGAAATGAACTCATACTGTAGCTAAATATTTAGACTGTATCACTATGCAATGCTGTGGGCAATGTGTTAAAACTCTGAGCATCATGTCGGCGCCAACAGCATTGTGGGCAGCGTGCCAACATATAGTGCCATTGCGCTTCGGGCGTCCCGAGATTAAGTCCTCGTGGACCTTTACTGATCCCGTCCTCCCTCTCTTTCCAAGAGGGTCTAGCTGCAGCCTCGCTCTTGCACTCTCAGACTTGCACTCTCAGACACTTGCGCTTCCGCTAGCGACGTCACTTGCAGTCTTTTATTTTTTTATTTTGTTCTATTTATTGATTGCTTTTTGTTTGAATCGCTCAACATTTTACAACAGTAGCCAGGTGGTGAAGACAAGACAAAAGAAACTAAATTACAATGTCACTTGCAATCGCCACTTGCACTCTCCGATACCTGCGACGTCCCTTGCAATCGACACAAATCGTGCGTGTTGCCAATGGAGACAAGAAGCTGTGGTGATTAAACGATTCAAACTAATTTAGTACTATAACATACAGGGTCCTGCAAGAAAAAGACAAGACCCGCAAATCCGTCACCACAGAACAGCAGAATATGAACGCAATGCACAAAGTCTCTCGTTAAGCGTTTTCCTCCCATAGAAAAACATAAACACTTAACATGGCGTAATGTATTAAGATACATTAAGTTCAATTAAAAGATCAAATTCGATATATAGTTATTATATATTAAGGAGGTAGAGGAGCATATTGAGTTTGGCCTTTTTAGTCCATTATGCCACATTATGCCACGTTTTGCGGAAAATACTATATACATATTCATTATATGAATAAATTGTATATTTAATTTGATATTTGAATAGCATCTTAATACATTAAGCCATGTTAAGTGTTTATGTTTTTCTATGGGAGGAAAACGCTTAACGAGAGACTTTGCGCATGCGTTCATATTCTGCTGTTCTGTGGCCACGGATTTGCGGGTCTTGTCTTTTTCTTGCAGGACCCTGTATGTTATAGTACTAAATTAGTTTGAATCGTTTAATCACCACAGCGTCTTGTCTCCATTGGCAACACGCACGATTTGTGTCGATTGCAAGTGACGTCGCAGGTAGCGGAGAGTGCAAGTGGCGATTGCAAGTGACATTGTAATTTAGTTTCTTTTTTCTTGTCTTCGCCACCTGGCTACTGTTGTAAAATGTTGAGAGATTCAAACAAAAAGTTACAAAATAAATAAATCCTGCAAGTGACGTCGCTAGCGGAAGCGCAAGTGTCTGAGAATGCAAGTCTGAGAGTGCAAGTGCGAGGCTGCAGCCAGACCCTTCTCTCATTCTCCAACTTTGTTTCCTGTCTAAATTTCCTATCACAATAAAAGGCAAAAACGCCAAAAAATAAATAAATAAATATTTTTTTTAAAAACCTGTGAGAATCATAGTTATTCTGCTTTTTGAGTCCTGAATTCCCCAGAATTCCCATTATCTGTAGTCAGTAATCTTATTAACCTTTTGATATATTATCATATGACAATGACATTTAAAGAAATGACATCTTCAGCCTTACGTAATGTAAGTTATACATAATTTTTTAAATAGTGGTACAGTATAATAAGTTTTGGTAATAAATGTCTGCACTAATCTTTCTTATTGACTAGTGCTGGTTAGAATAATAATAAACATGGTTCAAGTGATTCAAGCACATTAAAAACCAAGTACTTTTGTACTTTTGCTCAATTAAAACTGTAGTGAACTTTGTACAAAAGCAATAAACAGAGTGGTCATTTCTGAATCTTGAGAGAGACATCACCTTTTGATATTATATCATATAATATGACACTGACATTTAAAGAAATGATATTTTCAGCCTTACGTAATGCAAGTCTTTTTACATAATAAATTGCCTTGTTCATTGCAGTGCACTGTTGTAGTTTTTAATAATACTTTTTATCAGTTTTTGTTTTTATATTTTAATTTTAGTGAGTATTAATAATTTTGTTTTGTGCTTCTGTCATTGTTTATAGTTTTTGTTATATGTATGTCTGTTTTTCATTTTTATTTCTATTTTAGTTTTAGTTAAGTACACAAAGTTAAATTAAATTCAAATTAAACATTTTAAGAAGTGTGAAGAGAATATGCTGAAATTAAATGTTTATATATTTTAATTTATTTCAATTGTTAATGTCAGTTAACGTTTATTTTATTTCAAGTAACAAAAATGTTTGTTTGTTTTTTTAATGATTTTTGTTTTAGTTAACTACAATAACCCTGGCTCATTCTAATGATTACATCTTAATTTCAGTGTCATAATAATACATACACTGTGAACAATAGTCAATACAATTAATAACCTTTTTGTTTTAAATTTTTCACTTGTTTGCACACTTGAATTATCAGTAACTTAGACTGATATTTCAGTATATTGAAGTTTAATGTTTTGATAGTGGTATAAGAAGTTTTGGTAATATAATAAAATGTTTGTTTATTTGCAGATCAATACATATTTAATGTCTGCTAACTTACTGACTAGTGCTGGCTAAAATTATTAATAACATGGTTCATCAATAAAACTTTCATATAATAAACTTAAGTACATTTAAAAAACGAAGTACTTTTCTTTTATTCAAGCAAAATATCTTTAGTAAGCTTAACCTTTTGATATGATATCATATAATATGACACTGACGTTTAAAGAAATTATATTTTCAGGATTACATAATGTAAGTTGCTTAGTATGTTGCCTTGTTTATTCTAATGCTTACTGTTTATTAATTTCTGTGTCTTAATAATGCATGTACAGTGAACATAGATCTGTGAGAATATGATTATGTTTTTATTTTGTTCTGCTTCTTTTGTTAGCAGTCATTCACTATTAAAAGACCATAGTGAAATACACAAATGAACTCATACTGAAGCTAAATATTTAGACTGTATCACTATGCATGCTGTGGGCTCTAATATAAAATTCATAGATATTCTGCCCTTTGAGTCACTTACCTGAATTCCCCAGAATTCCCATTATCTGCCCACTGTCCACATGAAATGACACTCGATTCAGTATCTGCCTTGTCCATTTTTTCCTGAAAGATGGAAGGTCCCACCAAGGTCCTACATGTTCACTGTAACACACATAAGCAAACAAAAAATGCTTACGAAATGGTCACAAGAAGTGGTTTCAATGTGTCACTATTTTGTATGAAGCGTCAATGAAATAAAAGACTTAATAAAAGAATAATAGCCTAGCAGTTGTATAATTGTTGCCAAAGATAAAGTCTTTATATAGTCATTTAATGAAGGGGGAAGTCGTGGCCTAATGGTTAGAGAGTCGGACTCATAACCCAAAGGTTGTGGGTTTGAGTCTCGTACCGGCAGGGATTGTAGGTGGGGGGAGTGAATGTACAGCGCTCTCTCCAACCTTCAATACCACGACTGAGGTGCCCTTGAGCAAGGCACCGAACCCCCAACTGCTTCCCGGGTGCTGCAGCATAAATGGCTGCCCACTGCTCCGGGTGTGTGTTCACGGTGTGTGTGTGTTCCCTGCTGTGTGTGTGCACTTTGGATGGGTAAATGCAGAGCACTAAATCCGAGTATGGGTCACCATACTTGGCCACATGTCACGTCACACTCACTCACACTCACACTAATAATATCTGATTGATATTGGCATTTAAACTTTTATTCACTGATCGTTTCATGTTTATTGTATGCTTAAAGACTATAATATGCTGATAACTTTGATAAATCTTGACTTCGATTTCCCGGATTATTATAAGTGGTTATTCTACAGAATAATTTTGCATAGTCTAGAAATTTTAAACTGTTGAAATTTAGTCATCTGCTAACATTTCGGCATATAAAAACATCTTTTTAATTTAAAATAGCTTGATTTTCACACTCTGTTCAGATCAATAAATGCATTTATATCAAAAAAAAAAGTGTGATCTTTTCAAGGTTTCGGGCTTTACTGGAGGGCATTGGAAAACTAAACTTTAAATTCTGAAATATTGACATTTGACAACAGCTGTTTGGTCATATACAGTACATGTATCAGGTACAGTTGTCTGTTAGCAGCTACACTCAACATAAGAAGCTCCTGGACACATTCAGTGTGTGCTGGAAAAAAAACGTGTGTTTGAAGAGTGTCAGTTCATTAAGAACTTAATAATCAGGTGCTAAATTTTACATAACTCTCATTGACTGTGAACTGACACCCATTTCACTGCTGTCATGTCAATGTTGTATTCTCACCTCACAGTGTAGGACACATTTTTGACGCTCAGGCAACACAACGATTCGACGTAGTCCCAATTTGGTTGGGACGTTCCCATCTCTGACACCAGCTTGAAAGATCCATTTAACCCATTATTCTGTAAAACATCCTGCATTGAATATAACTGACTCATTGTCTCTCATCGATGGACAAACAAACTTCAATATTCTCAGTGTGACAGATCCACGTCTTCAGCAGTCTAAATGCTCCGGCTCATATTACACAGATGAGGCTGCAACCATAAACAGTGACACTTATCAGTGGAACTTTGCTCCATAAGCTATATAGAGTCGCTTCTCTCTGCCACCTCTCCTCAGTTTTTCCCTGGACAACAAGAGGAGCAGGTACTTCTCTCTTAGCGGGACGCCAGACCAGAGGGGCATAGACCCCTTTCTACCACGTCCACCATGTCAGACCAGAGTGCTTTCTATTCAGAAGACAGCTTCGGCTCTACAAATGACAAACAGAACAGGGTGAGTTCACCATGAGCTAAGACTACTCAAGCAATCGACACTAAAATGTAAACTATATTCAGAGGATGTTTATTTTGTTTCCATTGTATAACTGTTGTCTTCATTTACACATTCATAACAAGAGTATAGGATTATTTACATCCTATTGATTTTCAGCGAGGTCATTCAGGGTGATGCTGTACAAAAGCCTCTGTTGCAAAATTGGACCCTGAGCCACGTAGAAGTTGATAAATCTGATAAATAAAATGTGACCGTAATCAGTTTATGAGCAGCGTAATCTTAATTAAGCCTGATATATCTTAAACTAAAAGTACTGACTAAAATGCCAATCGTAAGTGCATAGATCGTATTTACATGTAAATAATCGTGTTGTCAAACATATGGGTATTATACTGACATTTGCACTTTATTATGTCTCAACAGACACAGGGTCAAGACATTCTTTTCTCGTCTCCAGAGGAGGACAGCAGTCTGTATTTTACTTACAGCGGAGGTCGCAATGAAGTGGAAGTCCGCAATCTCAACTATGAGGTTTTTTTCCGTTTCAGTTTCAAATTTATTCCAGGAATACATGGCCTCTCGGCCCATAGTTCCACAAAATCACAATGACATGGCAGATAATCTTTTCTTCATTCCATGATATATATACAATGCCAATCTCCATGCATACCTCGAATCACAAACACCTGATGATTCGAGGTAAGCATGGAGATTGATGTCTTGAACATCTAAAAAGGAACAATGATCGTACCAGTTGCATGTTACACAGACGCAGTGTAGCCATGCATACCTCGAATCACAAACACCTGATGATTCGAGGTAAGCATGGAGATTGATGTCTTGAACATCTAAAAAGGAACAATGATCGTACCAGTTGCATGTTATACACAGACGCACTGTAGCTCTCTTGTATCAACGAAGACTTGTATTGTGAATATATATTTAACGTATTATTTTCCAAAACTTATGTATACCATGCCTCATGTGCTTTTTCTTTCAATCGTTGGTTAAGAATAGCTGTAAATGTTCTTATATCACCTACACTTTGAGCCTCAACTATGAGGTCAATCTTTTCAGTCTGTATTCTTTCCATTTAAAAAAAAAATTACTCTTCAAAATACAATTTTCTTCCTGTTTTCCTTCCGCTGAAGTACTTTTTAGATACTGAAAGAAGGTCTTCATTCATTTTAGGAAGCAGATGAAAACAAAACATATGCATCAGACCTAGAATTATATATGACAGTTATATAAAGACATATATAAATCAAACTAAGTGGCATTTATAAAACAAAAAAAAAAACACTTATCAAAGCTATATATAATATATATATATATATATACATTTTGTGCAAAATGACAGAAATGTTTGGCTATTTTCTAGTGATGGACTTGTACTAAAATTAACAAAATAAAAAAATCTGAAGTTGGTTTAAGAATAGTTGAAGGATGGCTCAAATGTTTTCATTTAAAAATATTTGTAAATCAAAAATGCAATACTGAGTTCTTATACTTCAACCAAATACAATAATTTTTTACAACCAAAGCTAACAAGAAGAAGCTAACATCCAGCAAATTTGTCCTTCACAAATTACAGTGTGTTGAGTTTATTAATTATAGGCCAGGATTCAAGTTTTACAAATATTAGTGTCCCTGCTCACTCCATATAGTAAAAAAAAAAAAGATTTGAAATGCATTTATTTTCTGCTAAGTATACTACAAATATTTACATATTTATCTGCTTAATAAAAATACACTGCAGTTGTACTTTTAGTATACTAAACTGGTATACTTAAAGTCTGCTAAACTGGAACAACTAATTTTGTTCTTAATGCATTTTAATTATACCGAAGTATAGTGCTAAAGTCCTACTAAAAATATACTTAAGTATATTTGATTGTGCCAAAGTGGAACTATTGCAAGTACACTTTAGGTACACTTTAAATATCTTGCATTTAAAAACTGATATTATACAGAGATCATATACAGTCTAATTAATAGTGATATTAAAACATATTTTAGGCATAATATTAAGAAATGTGCAATAAAAAATAGGCCTACTCCAAATAAAGTTCAATTATATTTTATACCAGTAAGTCTTAAGTGATATGTCAATAAATATGTTAATGGATTTGAAGTATAGGCTACTTAGTATGAAATAAATGTATTTTAAATAGATTACGGCATAGGGTTAGTGTCCCTGTCAATCAAGTGATCCTTGGTCTGATAAAGTCTGAAGACCTCACATATAATAGCAATGGCATTCAAACATTTTTAAGTGCCCAAATGCTTTTTGAGGCCGATGTACAATGTGATATCTATTTATATTTTCCCACAGGTGGACATAGCTGCACAGATACCTTGGTATGAGAGGCTGTCAGAGTTTAAGATGCCCTGGGAGATGCACAGCAACAAGCAAACAGTCATAAAGGACCTAAACCTACATGTGCACAGTGGCCAGATGCTTGCTGTCATTGGCAGCTCAGGTAGGCCTATGTCAAACTTTAGGTATATGTGCAGAATTCTTAAACAAAGCACATTAAGTGAATAAAAGCATCAAGGAAGCCATAAAGAAACTAAGTTTTGTTTCCAGGCTGTGGGAAGACCTCCTTACTGGACATCATAACATGTCGAGATGAGGGTGGCACCATGAATTCAGGAGAGATTCTGATCAACGGGAAACCTTCCACACGTTCTCTGGTGAAGAAATGCATTGCTCACGTGCGGCAGGATGACCGTCTGTTACCGCATCTCACAGTGCGGGAGACGCTGGCTTTTGTGGCCAAACTGCGGCTGCCTGCGCACTTCACCCAGGAACAGAGAGATCAGCGGGTGAGGAACTCAGATCATGTAACTAGTTAAAGGTAATGCGAGCGTGACTAACTGTCAGACCTGTCTGTTTGACCTGCACAGGTGGACGATGTCATCGCGGAGCTGCGTCTGAGGCAGTGCGCTCACACGCGCGTGGGGAACGACTATGTGAGGGGGGTGTCCGGTGGAGAAAGGAGGAGGGTTAGCATCGCTGTACAGCTGCTCTGGAATCCAGGTGAGTCTTTAACACATCAACATAGGTGTGAAGTGAAGAAATACTTAGTCAAAAAGTCTACTTGTTTTTTTTCGACTTTAAGCATTTTTTTTCGACTTTTAAGCACTTGAGTTCTATTTATTACTTAACACAACACGTCATTGGTCTTACTGTTGATTATTCGTACACATTACTATAAGTAAAAACCGTTTGTCTTCATAATTAGGCAGTATTAGAATAAGTGTTGTTATTCTAAATATTCGCTGGTCTGTGATTTGGCAGTAGGCCAATAATCAGGTCAAGGCAATTATAAGTGTGCAAGATATTACTAGCCTATTATGCGGCTTTTCAATAAGCAAGATGTTAATATAAAGCAACTTACATTCATACACAATATTGCAAGTTGTTTGTATTTTCAAGTATTTCAAGTATTTTCGCTTAAAGGGGACATCGGATGCCCATTTTCCACAAGTTGATATGATTAGGGTCTTAATGAAAAGACTATAACATACTTTGGTTAAAATTTCTCAATGGTAGTGTAAAACAACACCCCTTTTGCCCTGCCACAAACAGCTCTGCACACAGCAACCCGTTTTAGTGCATGTTTCTTTAAATGCTAATGAGCTCTGCTCACCCCACCCCTCTATTCTGTGGGGTGATGAGCCCGTTCTCATGAGACTGTTTACTTTAGCCGCATTTAGCCACAAAACTTGCTAACTAGCACATTATTAGGAAAGGCGATTTGCAAAGATTCATAAAAAAAACCCTTATAA